AGAAACACTGTCAGATATAGTGCCAGAAAATGAGCCCCTCAGGTTGGAAGGCACTCAAAATGCGACTGGGGAAGAGCTGCCTCCTCAAAGTCGAGCTGACCGTGATAATGCGAATGGAGTAAAGCCCATCAGAGTAAAGCCCTTGGTACCTTCATTTGCTGATGGGGCACAACACAAAAGGAAGAGAAATAGCTATAAACATCCACTAATAATCGGAACATAGAATGTATGAAGTATGAATCTAGGAAAATTATAAATTGTCAAAAATGAAATAGTGCCAGAAAATGAGCCCCTCAGGTTAGAAGGCACTCAAAATACAACTGGGGAAGAGTTGCTTCATCAAAGTAGAGTTTTGAGTGCATTGATGCGAATGAAGTAAAGCTTTTGGGACCCTCATTTAAAGTGTTAAAGAGTAAAGATGTCACTTTGAAGACTAAGGTGCGCCTGACCCCAGCCATGGTGTTTTCAATTACTTCATATGCATGTGAAAGCTGAACAATTCATAAGGAAGACAGAAACATCTATGCATTATGGAGTTGGTGAAGAATTGAATGTACCATGGACTTACCGACGCACAAACAAATCTGTGTTGGAAGAAGTATGGCAGATTGTTCCTTAGAAGCGAGGATGCTGAGACTTGTATCTTATACTTTGGGCATGTCGTCAGGAACCAGGGGCTACTAGAGAAGGACATCATGCTTGGCAAAGTGGAGGGTCAGCTAAAATGTGGGAAACCCTCCACTAGACTGGCACAGCGACTGTAGTGATGGCATCCAGCGTAAGCCATAATTGTGCGGATGGCACAGGATCAGGCAGTGTTTCATCCTGTTGTGGGAACTGACTCGATGGCACCTAACAACAACGTAACAACAGGTCTTATTATAAGGAGGCCTGGTTGCACAGTGGGTTAAGAATTGGAATGCTAAATGAAAGGTTGGTAATTCAAATCAACCAGACACTTGAGGAGAGGAAGATGAGGCAATTTACTTCCATGAAGATGTACCACCTCAGAAGCCCTATGAGACAGTTCTACTCCGTCCTACAGGGTCGCTGTGAGTTGGAATCAATGTGACAGAAGTGAGTTTTTTGTTTGTTTTAAGTTTAGATCTCATTATAAGGAGACATAGTGGCACAGTGGTTAAGGAACTCATTTGCTAACATAAAGATCAGCAGTTCGAACCAACCAGCTGCTCCTTGGGAGAAAGATGTGGCAATCTGCTAATGTTAGGATTTACAGTCTATAAATAGAAATACCATATGGCCTAGCAATCCCTCTTCTTGGTGTATGTCCACAAGAAACATGAGCCAGGACACAAGTAGATATATACACACTGATGTTCATTCATTGCAGCATTGTTCATAATAGCAAAAAGATGGAGTCTAAATGCCCATCAGTGGAAGAATGGATAAACACGCTTTGGTTCATGCACACAGTGGAATGCTATTTGATGATGGAGAATAACAGTGAATCTACAAAGCAACTCATAACATGGATGAGTCACATCACAAAGGAGTAAATATTGTATGAGACCACTGTTGTAAAACCTCAAGAGAAGGTTTTCATGCTAAAAGAAGCATTCTTTAGTGGTTATCAGGGGTGGGAGGGAAGGGAGAGTAATTCACAGGCTAGAGGACAGACACATGTTACCTCAGATGACAGCGAGGGCAATATACAAGAAGAGAGAGGTTGGCAGAAGACATCTGAAGACAGGGAGGTATGCAAGGCCCAAAGGTAAATATTGATGTATATTTACAACCATGGGACAATAATGTACTACAGGTAGATATATGGACAAACACAGGCTGAATGGGTATGGGAGGAAGAGTGGGAGGAAGTCCACAAATAGATAAAGATTTGAAAAAGGATCTTTGTACTTGGGTATTACCTTTGTTGCAAATGCACCTATGAATGCGGTGGAGCACATAGTGAGCAATGGAAACTCTTTAGATCTGGGGGTCAGAACCACAGTCTCAGGGGACACCATGGTCAACCAGCATAGCATAACAAAGACTATGTCCACAAAGACATAATTCTGGTGTGGCACTGTAGGATAAGCACTGGACCACAAGGTCAGTTTGAAGATCAAGGTCAGTGGTTCAGGGTCACTATGAGTCAGAACTGACTCAATGGCACTTACCAACAACAAAATCCACGAAGACAATGTTCTATCTCCTACTTTGATGACTATCATGTGGGATCTTCAAAGTTCATGAGCAGCCATCTAAAGCACAGCTATTGGTCTCTCCATGTGAGGAAGGAAGAAGAGTGATGAAAATTGAAGAGTCTTGGAATCAACTAGTCCAATGGACTAATGGAACTCGTGAAAATCAGTCTCCATGACCCTGAGACCAGAAGAATGAGATGGTGTCCAATTACCACTAACTGCCCTGAAGGGGATCACATTAGAAGGTCCCAGATAGAGTGGCAGAAAATATAGAACAAACTCAAAATTATTTTTTAAAAAAAGGGAGAGACCAGGTTTACTGGTCAGAATGAGCCTGAGACTATGGTCTTCGACCACCCTTCAGGTCTGGAGAGGAACTTACCCTCGTGGTCCAATGTTCAGCCAAGCAGTAGATAGGTATATACGGAGACAACATCAGTAAGCTCTGCTCACCCTGGAATGGCCAATCATTAAAAGTCAAAAGGGCAACATTTACCCAAGGACAAAGCTGAGAAAGGATGGGAAGGAGAGTGGACTGCAAATAGGAAGCACAGGCAGGAAGCGGGACAACTGTTGGTGCCTGGAGGGGACTGTAGTCATTGAGATGAAACAAAGTGTATGGTTTGTTGAATGTAAAACTCATGCTCTTGTCTGAAAACCTTCACTCAGTTCAGAATTTTAAAAACACAAAGATTTACAGTGTAGGAAAACCCTTTGTGACTGTTCTAGTCTGTCCTATACGGTTGTTGTAAGTCAGAACTGGCTATTCAGAGGCAATAGGTTAGGTCTTATTATCCCTCAGATTAGATGAAGGGGCTTCAAAAGTTCGTAGTAAAGTCAATTGAAAAGATGCTGGATTTTTTTCCATGAGTTTTTTGAAAGCCGCCTAAACAAGGAAGCAATGTTCTAGATACAGAATGTATACTAACAGATGACTCTCTCTTTCCTTTGTTCTATGCCGACATCAGCAACCAAGGACAGGTAAGTCACTCAGCACTGCCCCTGTTCCCCCACCCCCACCACCCGTGTGCTGTGATTTTGAATCTTTGGTCCTCATGTCGTGCTCTCAGGTCCACTTGGCCACTGGACTGCAAGGTCAGTTTGAACGACAAGGTTGATGGGTCAAACCATCTGCTCCTTGGAAACCCTATACAGGGCTACTGCGAGTCTGAACTGCTTACCAAATGCCCCACTCTCATCTTGGGTCTGTCTGTGTGCTCTCTGCCTCCATCCTCTGTCCTTGGATTGTGGTTTAAGAGAGTTTGAGTGAAAAGTTATGGAGAACCCAGTGTGGCCCTTGTTTCATGTAGGACTGTCTTTGTGGGTCCTTTGTAGCTAAAAGAAGATCGGCATCTTTTCTTTTGCTCATGCTTCCATTTTCATCTCTGAACACAATGTCATGATCAAAGTGTCCTTTGTTTGGTTTTAGTTTTCAGGATGAAAATTTGGTTTTTGAGGAGTTTGCTCGCCAAAATCTGAAAGATGGGGCCGAAGTCAAGCAAGGGGAGAAAGACAAGGAGGAGGCCACCAATGATGAGTGAAGAGGCGACGGGGGAGCCAGAAAATGGCCAGGGCCACCATGATGCCAGTGGGGAGTCTGAGTTTAGCCATTTAGAGCAAAGCTTGTAGATTAGAAAGTTCTCCTTACAGAAATAAAGTTGGTCCTTCCTCCTGCCAGGAGAAAGGCCGTCTTGCTGGAGAGGCTAAGTGATATGACTAATAGAGGCGCTGTAGTCTTGGGGTTCTGGTGTTTTTAGGGGTGAAACACAAAAAGGAGGCCAGCCATGTACACATGGGCTCGTTGCTGACCTCACATTGATATTACCTCATGAATATAACAAAGAAGACCTTAATTCTAAACAAGACCACCAGCACTGGAACCCCTACCCCCGCGTCTATTCTTACTCACAGTGACTTTGTATAGGGTTTCCAAGGCTGTAAATCTTTATACGAGCCGACAGTTTTGTCTTTCTCCCAAGGAGTGAATGATGGGTTTGAACATTGACCTTGCAGTTAGCAATCCAGCACTTATCCTACAGTGCCACCAGGGCTTCTGCAAGCACAGGTACAAAGGTCAGGAATTCAACACAAAGTTTGGATGGAGTGCCGTCCACACGAACCTTCATAAGGCTAATTAACACTAACAGTACTGGTCAGAGCCCGGGTCTTCGGTCTGTAGGTCTACTGCTTGGTCCCTTATGCTAAAGGAATGGCAAGGTGTCCGTGCAGCCTAGGAGCTTCGCCCGGGGAACCCAGGAGACCATCAGGGTGACCTCTTCCTTGAGCAGTCCAAGACTGTCCACTGTTGCTCTGAGCCCTGCCCTCTAATTATTCCCCAGGCCCATGGCTCTAGTTGACTCCTGAGGAGACCCAGGCCAAGCGATGATCCAGGGATTTGGCCTGCAGTGCCTGGTGGGAGCTGGGGACCAGCCTGCTGGGGTCCTACATTGTTTGACTGTACAACCTCTTGAGTCAGAGTGGTCTTTAACAGGCCCAACCTTTGGAACAGTGCAGGTGGGGAAAGCCAGAGAGAAAGCTGAAAGACTAACCCTTGGGGACCAGAGGTCAGAACGGTCCTTGTCCTCCATGCTGTTTTGAGGCTGAGATCTTCAGCTGCTGGCTTATTTGTGTGTGCCACTGGGGGAGAGGAATGCAGGAGGTGAGCAGAAAATGGAAGGTGGGAGATTGAGTCAACTCCACCAGCTGACAACATGCCATTTCTGCTGGCACAGACCTCTCTGTGTACAGCTGAGTGCGAGTCCCGAGGGGGGCGGGGGCAGATGCAACAGAAATGTGGTGGCTGGCAGCCAAGGGGCTGGCAAGGACATGATATCTGCCAAGGTGGAGGACCAGCTGTGTGCCAGGCACCTCCAAGATGATATGGTAGACTGTTCAGCAGTGCTTGCAAGCGGGGGCTGCCAGCATCACTTGTTAGATGAGGAAACGGGAGTTCAAAATGCTTACGTACTTGGCCACAGAAAGTGGTGATTCAGTGGTAGAATTCTCACTTCCCCAGGGAGATCTGGGTTCTAGTCGCGGAGAATACACCTTTTGTGAAGCAAGCACACTCATCTGTCAGTGGAAACTGATGTGTTGTTCTGACGCCAAACCAATGTCACCAGAAATTCCAGACTAAGACAGACTAGGAAGAAAGCCTGGTGAGCTACTTCCAAAAACCAGCCCAAGAAATCCCTGTGGATTACAGTGGGCTGATCCACAATGGCTCATGGGATGGCGGATGCTAGAGATGGTGCACGACTGTGTTCCAGTCGTTTTGTTCGTTGTCTGTGGGGTCACCATGAGTCTGACACAGACACAACAGCTAAGAACAAGCCCATGTACATTCCCCGAGGTCACTGAACTAATGAGTTGTTGTTCTGTACCATTCTGACTCATACTGACCCCGTCCGTGTACAACGAAGGAAATATTGGGAAGTCCTTTACTGTTCTGACAGTTGACCCCATTCTATATTTGAGCCCACTGCTCCAGCCACTGTGTCAATCCTAGTAGGAGACTTGCAGTCAAAACTTGAGCGCTGCTTTCCCTTAGTCTAAAATCAGACCTTTCCCACCCTTATTGGTTGCTTTTTTTTTTTTTAAACAACAATAAATATATAAACTTTGTATTTTGAATTAGTTTAAGACCCCCCAAGAAGGTTCAGAAATAGAGGGAAAAAGTAGTACAGAAAGTTCCCACATTACCTTTATCCCACAATATCCTCCGATGACTAGAAAGGAAGGTGGCTATTTTTAAATATTTAACCACTGCAAACCTTATGAATACTAGTGGAACACTGTAGGAAGGCACCTGAATATTGAATATTGAACCATGATGAATGCTGTTAAGTGCTGTTGAGTTGGTTGCTACCCATGTGACCCTGTTTAGGGTTTCTGAGGAGCAGCTGGTAAGTTTGAACTGTCGACCTTGCAGTTCAAACAGACCTTGCAGTCCAGCATATATTAACCCATAGTGCCTATGAATAGCCTATGGAACAATGTCAGATAGCATCTGAATATTGAATGCTGAATGCTGAAACATGATGAAGAGCACCAGAATATTGTCAGATAGAGTGCCAGAAAATGAGCCCCTCAAGTTGGAAGGCACTCAAAATATGACCGGGAAAGAGCTGTCTCCTCAAAGTACAGTTGACCGTGATGATGTAAATGGAGTAAAGCTTTTGGGACCTTCGTCTGCTGATGGGACACGACCCCAAATGAGGAGAAACTGTTGTAAACATCCATGAATAATTGGAACATGGAATATATGAAGTATGAATCTAGGAAAATCAGAAGCTGTCAAAAATGAAATGGAATGCATAAAGATCGATATCCTAGGCATTAGGGCCAGTATTAAGCTGAAATTGACCAGTGCTGGCCAATTTGAATCTCACAATAATATGGTTTACTATGCCAGAATGACAAATTGAAGAAGAATAATGTCATAGTCATCATCAAAAAGAACATTTCAAGATTTGTCTTGAAATACAATGCTGTCTGTGATAGGATGGTATCCGTAGGCCAACAAGGAAGAATAGTTAATACCACTATTATTCAAATTTACCAACCACTAAAATCAGTGATTCCACTTAAAACCAGTTTGTCTTACTGTGGTAGCTTGTGAATTGCTGTGATTTTAAAAGCTATGCCACTGATATTTTAAATACAAGCAGGATCACCCATGGTGGATAGGTTTCAGATGAGCTTCCAGACAAAGACAGACTAGGAAGAAGGAGTGACGAACTGTTTTAGAATATTTAGTCACTGAAAACCTTATGCATAGCAGAGAAACACTGTCAGATATAGTGCTGGAAAATGAGCCCTTCAGGTTGGAAGGCATTCAAAATGCGACTGGGGAAGAGCTGCCTCCTTAAAGTAGAGTTGACCGTGATAACGCAAATGGAGTAAAGCTCGTGGGAGAAAAGCTCGCCGGGACCTTCAATTGCTGATGGGGCACAACTCAAAATGAAGAGAAACAGCTATAAACATCCATTGAAAATCGGAACATGGAATGTACAAAGTATGAATCTGGGAAAGTTGAAAGTTGTCAAAAATGAAATGGAATGCATAAACATCGATATCTTAGGCATCAGTGAGCTGAAATGGACTGGTATTG